TCTTTGATTCCCTATCCCTCACCCTCTGCCATGTCCCACCCTCTTTCCACATTGTCTCTGGTATCCATGGTTGCTTTCTATGCCCCCCCCCATTTAATTGATTTCCTAATGAACTTAATTAGTCTAAATATTTGCCATAGCAAGTGCAGCTGATATATACATATACATGAACTCAAGTCTGACTTTAGGCATAAACCTCAGTGAGTAGAATGAACATACTATAAAGTGGTACCTAGCTGGGGCTATATAGCTTACTGTGGTCATCAAATATGCAATTTTTAAAAATTTCAATAAGAATAGATTTAGTGGGTTTTTTTCTCCTAAACTTTTTTTATTAATTTACATTCATTCCCTGAGCATCATCACAACATACTAAATGTGCTTTCCCATCTAGAATAAACTGCATAGTGGCTTAACCATGCATGTTATCATCAATAATATTCCATTTCTACTTTCATATATATGTATGTATGTATGTGTGTGTGTATATATATAGTGTGTGTGTGTGTGTGTGTGTATATATATATATATATGTAGTACCCCATGTCCGACCCTTTGCCCTTTCACACTCTCTTATTATACTATCTCTGCTGTCTACAATTGTCTTCAATTCCTTATCTCCCAACATTTTGTTGATCACACAATATCATGAGTAATCTATCTACTTTCAATAGCAAGTTCAGCTGGTGATTTTAAGAAAAGCAGTTTTGAACTGGTAAAGATATTTCCTTGAAACTTAAAGCCTAGAAACAGGTTAGTATTCTGTTCAAATAGTAGATACATGAATCTATTGACAGCTCAAGACAGGACAAAAATCCTTAAAACCTGACAACAAAGCTTAGAAGAAAAGCAGCAATATTTTAGTCAAGTCACAGAATGCTGTTTCATCAGTTCAGTCTCATATACTTAATCTTCTCTTTTGGTTTGATCTTCCAGATTGAACTCTGGGATATAATACTCAACTCCAGACTTTGTCCCTACAATTAAGTTGTGTCTCTTTAACAGGCCCATTCCCTTCTGCCTCTCCACGCGAGTTTTGTGTGCTGGAGGCCAAATTATCAGTGGGAAATCTTCATTTCTGTTTCCCCTAAAATGGCTAGATCACAGGAGCCATGACGGTGTCCCCATGTGGTTTTGATTATTACAGCTTTATTGTATATTTGGGGGTCAGGGAGTGAGATGCCTCCTACTCCACTCTTCTTGCACAGAATTGCTTTGACAATACTGTGTCTTTAATGATTCTAGACAAATTCTATGATTTAAAAAAAATCTTTGTAGACTATCTCTGTTAATTTGATAAGGATTGCATTAAATTTGTAGATTAATTTGGATAGGATTGACATTTTGATGATATCAATTCTTTCAATTGAGGAACATGGGATTATTTTTTTCCACTCTTTGAGCCATTTTCAATTTCTTTTTAAAATATTTTAGAGTTTTTATTGTAGAGGTCTTTGACTTCTTTGGTTAGGTTTATTCCTAGGTATCTTATGCTTTTCGCAGCTCTTATAAATGGAATAACTTTCTTCAAGTCTACCTCAGTCTGTTCCTTTTCATGTAGAAATGCTATAGATTTTTGTATGTTGATTTTGTATCCTGCCAGTTCACTGCATTTATTTATCACTTCCAGAATTTTTTTTCCTTTCCCTGTGTATGTGAATTTTAAAAAATATTCTGTGTATTTAATCATGCCATATGCAAATAGAGATAATTTCACTTATTTCCCTGTTTCAGTGCCTTTTGTTCTAGTTTTTTGTCTGATTTCATTGGCTTGGACTTCTAAAAATATATGAAAAAAGAGTGAAGAAAGTGGGCAGCTTTGTTTTGTTCCAGTTTTTAGGTGGAAAGCTTAACACTTTTTCCCATTCAGTGTGATGTTAGCTAGCAGTTTTTCATATGTGGCTTTTATTGTGTTGAGAAATGTTGCTTTTATGCCAATTTTGCTGAGTTTATTAGTCATGAAGGGATGTTGTATTTTATCAAATGCTTTTTCTGCACTGATTGATATTATTACATTTTTTATCTTTTTTGTGCTAATATTGTGTATTACATTTATAATTTTGTGTATATGAACCATCTTGGCATTCCCAAAATAAAGCCTACCGGGTTGTGGTGTGGCATATAATATTTTTAATGTGTCATTATATATAATATCCTAGTATCTTGTTGATAATTTTTATCTGTGTTAATCAGATATTTGTAATTTTCCTTTTTTGTTATATCCTTGTCTCTTTTGAGGATAATGGTGATGGAGGTTTTATAAAATGAATTTAGGAGGATTTCTTCCTTTTGGGTCTTTAGAAATTATCTGAGGAGAATGAAGGCTATCTCTTCAGTGTTTTGTAGAATTCAGAACTGAAACCATTGGGACCTGCCCTTTTCTTTGTTGGGAGATGATTTATTACTGATTAAACTATTTTTTTGTTAGTAATCCTATTTGAAACATATCCACACAGATTTACAGTGAGTGACAGTTCATGTTATCGCCTACATTTTGCAGTATTTCAGCACTTCACTTAACTCCACTCTAAGCAGGGGAAAATAATTTTATAATTCTGTCTTCTTAAAGAAATGCTGTTATGATATTTTTTCTCATTTCACTTAGTCATATACATTCCTGGTCATCTGAATATTTATTTTCTTACAAAAATATGTCATCAGAATAAAGAGATGTTTGAGGTTGCTTCAGTGTTCAAGTTTGCTTGATTTTCTTTTTTCCAGTTTTCCTTCAATTGTCCTAAATATAACTAGCCTTATTTTATAAATACCATTAATATTAGAAATGTACTATCTGCTTTCATAGGAAGACAACTATAGTTCCATTTTCATAACATTTACATATGTTTTCTTAACATCATTGGCTTGAAGCACAAATTGATAATACAGAAAAAAAGGAAAAGATCCTTTCTATTTTTTAACAGTGTCTAAGTTATTTTATCTAATATATTACTCCAGATATGTGTTTATACTTATTTGTTTGTTTGAGATGGTAAGAATGTTGACATAGCAGAATATTTATTATGATTTCATCCCTTGCAGCAAAAACATTTGAAGATCTATGAGGGAATACTTGTAATACATTTAGCAATGAATAAATTAGCATAGGAATAGGATGATTGTACTTTATTTTTTCTCCCTTTACAGACTTCAGAAACATACAGAGAAACAAGCATATACAAACATCCAAAGAAAGTAAATTTTCCATATTATGTTCTGTTTCTCAGGGCTGATGGGAAATGCATATTTACAGGGGTTCATATCATTTGAAGATGTTGCTATGGACTTTACCTGGGAGGAGTGGCAGGTCCTCGAAGATGCTCAGAAGACTCTATTCAAAGATGTGATGCTGGAGACCTACAACAGCCTGATGTTTTTGGGTTAGTGGAACTCCCATGAAGCTTTCTGAAGTGATTACTGTCTCCTTTCATAGTGAAAGTACAAGAGTTTTATAATGTTTAATGCTGTTCAGGAGTGATATTTCATTCTGTGGTTTATGTTAGTGGCACTCCTCTTTAACAAAATGCCCAAATCAGCCCCTTTATTGCACAGCTGATAAAGCTGAAGCGTTGTTACTCTTCAGGTAGCTTACATGAATAGTTTGGCAAAATTCCACACTGCTTTTTATTAACAGGACAATCCATTGCCAAACCTGCAGTGATCTTCAAGTTGGAGCAAGGAGGAGATCCATGGACATTAGAAGAACTTCCCAGCTTGAGCCTTCCAGGTTAGTCAGTGCATAGTTTCCTGGGACTAGTGTAATACATTTTCTTTTGAAGAATTTATAATTCATTGAGAGGGGAAGACAAAATGTTAGTACTGGTGAGATTAGAAAAATGTAGAAACGTTTTCCTGGGATAAGAGTGTGCAAAATGGGTATATATTTTTTAAAGGGTCCTACGAGATGACATATTTAGGGTAATTAGTATGTATTTTTATTGGCTACAAGTCCTTCCTAAGTAACATTTCTTCTTAAGTGACAAGAGTTCTTTTGACTTCTGCTAATAGATAATCTAGAAAACTGTTCACATTAGCAAAGAAACAGTACATGATATCCACTGTTATAAGAAAAAAAAGAGAAAAATGACAGGGAAAACAAATGATGGAAATCTTTCAGTGTAAAATTATAGGCAGACAGAAGGTAGATACTTTAATTATTGTTAAGGATATTAATGAAAAAGGAAACATAAAGGAACAAAATCAATCCACTCACCTTTCAAAAATATTAATGTAAATTGTTACAGTAACATATTAAGGAGAAAGAACCATATTTCTTATTATAGATCAGTACCAATATTTGAAATATATGTGAGCAGTGCAAAATAAATTCTCAAAAATAATTTATGGAAATGGTTGTCTTTTTCTGACCAAAGAGCATTGATGTGGGAGAGACTACTTGTAAATAGAATGAATATGGGAAAGCATGTGTTAAGACAGTTCCTATTGTCCAGTATAAAGTTCAGGTATGGAAGAAACCATTTTACAAAAAGCCTAACTGTTTCATTCAGCAGAAGATATACATATGAGATGCACTCTATAAATGTAGAGAATGTGAAAAATTATTATTTAAAATAATTTTTACAATAGATTTTAAATAGAGTGGAATATTCCTATTTATATAAAGAGTAAGAGTAATCCTTATTGGAGAAGTAAAATCTAGTTTTTCATCAGAGAATGCACACAAAACCCTTTTTCCAGAGGTCAGAAATGTTTCAGCTGTTGTTATACATGAGACAACTCTTACTGGAAAGAAATCTTGTGGATAAAACAATATAGGAATTTATTATTGTGTCTGAACACACCCCTTACTAACCATCTGAAAACTAATACAGGAGAGAAGTGCTATGAATGTAAACAATGTAAGAAAACGTTTTCCCAGAGTTCAGACCTCACTATACATCAGAGGAGTCACATAGGAGAGAAACCCTATGAACATAAACTATGTAGAAAAATGTCCTACAAGAAGTCACACTTTACTGTGCATCAGCCAGCTCACACTGGAGAAAAATCCTATGAATGTGGAGAATATGGAAAATCTTTCAGTCCCAAGTCAATCTTGAGTAGAAATTCAAAAACTGACACTGGAAAGAAACCCTCTGAATGTGAACAATGTAGGAAAATATTCTTCTGGAAGTCATACCTCACTGGGCATAGGAAAACACACAGTAGAGAAACCCTATGAATGTGAGCAATGTAGAAAAATGTTCTCCCAGAAGTCATAGCTCACTGCACATCAGAGATCTCACATGGGAGAGAAAACCTATGAATGTGACCAGTGTAGTAAAATGTTCTCCTGGAAGTCAAATCTCACTGTGCATAGTAGAACTCACACAGGAGAG